CCCACGTATGACGTATTCAATGGCCTAAAGTAAATTGTAACGCTGTGAATAATTTTACTATTTATGAGCTCGACTTTATTTTCATAAATGGCCAGTTTTCTTATTTGATGCATTTTATTATTATTATTTGCATTAAATTGAGTATTAAGTTATAAGTCTAAGCCATGGAGAATTTATTCACTTTTTAATTTTAAAATCAAATTTAATTAGCCCAAGTATCAATTTTATTTTTAAGATAAAACTGAGCCTTGGAATAACCGGAATTTTAATTAAGTCGTATAGAAGCCTGGACGAGCCTAGCCTCGGCCCAATACCCGAGCGATTTTATTTGCCCCATTTCATTTAATCGAGCCCATGTTCGATTTTTAAATCCCGACCCATTATTATTAATTCGGCCGATCCATTTAATTTAGTCTGAGTCCCGTTTATATTAATTGAACTGAGCCCGAACATTTTATTTTCCTAAGTCAATGTTCGGTTTTACCAGCTTAATTTTAAAAGTTCAAGTCAAATATCTTGAGCCCAATTTTAAAACCCAACACACACATCAAACCCTAATTTTCTCCCCCCTATAAATACATCTTCAGCCGGTGACCCGACCTTCACCTCGGCAGCCGCGGTGTAAATTTTTGTACACTCAATGGACCCTTCACATAAAATAAATATCTGTACGGATAAAAATATTTGTTTTTAGTTACATTTCCATAATATGAATATGAAAACAGTACATGGTAAAAATGTTGGATGAAATATAATAAAGCATTGTTGTCTTTACGAGTATCAGAATCTCTAAAGTCTAATAAAAAATAATCTAAGATTAGGAAATTAATGTGAAAAAAATCTAGATTTCTAGTTTGTCCAAGACAAGAATTTTGAATAATAATAATAAAATAAGTAAGTTTCAATAAATAGGAAACAAATAATTAAATTAAATATTCTAAAAATCCTTAATTATCTCCATAACCTAATTCAATTCAGTAATAATTTACTAAACCCTCTCTATATATATATAAACAAACAGAAGGTTGTGATAGAGGTTGTGATAGAGAGTTAATTCATGGGAGAGTTAGCCAAGGAGTTGTTCTTGATAATAAGCGCCTGTTGGGTCTTCATTATAATTTATATATGTATTAATCTAGGGTGTTTTATTTGGAAAAAAAAAGCAATATATTATGCTGCAAAAAGAAACATGAGTGATTTGGCGGCAAAGGATGGCGGCTTCGCGGCGGCAAATGCAGATGCCACCCGAGTCTCCACAGCCAATGGTGGCCTCTTTTATAGTGTTTAATTATTATCATGTTCGCTAGACATGAATTATTTACTGCTTTTTCCTCTCAGCCCCTGTTTGTTATGTAGGATTAGGGGATATCCCGCCTAATTCTGGGATAATCCTGCGTTTGGTTCAATGGATTAAAGTTTATGTTTTCTATTCCTGGCCGATCGATCCAGTTTATGTTTTCGATTTTGCTATTTTTATGTTGACCAACGTTATTTAACAATTATAAGATACACTTTGTCATTGTTAATTAATTGGGCACGATGTTATCGAATTAGAAGTTAAGAATTCGTTATCACATGGAAGAATTGAATATGGTGAACTTTATTTTACTTTATTGGATTTCCAGTATGTATTTTTTGTTTGTTCTTGTTATCGTATTCGATTCGTCTGAGGAATGTAAAGAAGAAAACACCCGGGATTGGTAGCCGCGGAAAGTTCCAAAAGTGGAAAGATTGTAGTGTTTTAGTTTTATCTTTAGTCAGTTGTTGTCTTGTGCTTTGTTTAATCATACACCTTTTTAAGTGTTTTCTGAGATCGAGATTAGAGTTGAAACATAAAAACCACTTAATTTTCTACCAATGACATATGTTCTGCTACTCAATTTTCCAGTTGTTCT